AGGAATGTGCTGCAGGGATAAAATAAAGAGTAATCAGCACACAGAATTGGAGAAATGAATACATAATACATCAAGTTAAACATAGCATTGTCTATGCTACTTAAAATAAACTGAAAATTTTAGATGTTAAATATATAGTCTGCTTTGGAACCAACTGCCAGGTTTGGGGAAAGTCTGAAGAGGTTTCTACACAGCAGCTTCGTGTCAGCACTGTGGAGTGCACATCATGTCAGGGATGGCAGACCCACAATAAGACAATTTCATTCTTTCTATCTATCCTAGACACTAGCAATGTAGTCTAGAGTAAATATTGATTATCTGCATTTCAGTCATTTATATTTTGGGCAACAGTATTTGGCTGTTTCTCATAGAAATCATATTAATGTGTTTACCCACTTTTTGATTAGATGTGGACATGCTTAATTTAGGCATATTGTTATTGACTACTTTTTCTTCCCTTTTCTATAAAAGAAGGAAAAAAGACTCTCTGTAGCTGCATAGCATCTTAATCAACAAACACTTTTTTCAATGTGAATTTAAAGATAAGGAATAATGTTCACAATTATAGATCATCAGTAAACTGCACTTAAATGGAAGAATAAATGATAATTCAGCCTTTCAGATACAGAGAAATACGATATCGTTGGAGCTTCAATGTATTTATTCAGTACCTGGTCGATCGTGTTGCAGTCAGCTGAAAATCTGTTCAATATACTACCCAGAGGTGTAGTTTCAAAAAATCTAAAATGAGACAATGAATAAGATTATGGCACTGACAATCACATAGCTTTAACTTCTTTTTTTTCCCCTTCAAGTTCCTTGAGCTGGAGACTGTGTCAGAGACAAAAGGGAATAAGCTAACAGCCCTTGTTTGTTATTTTTTCCATAATCATTTCATTCCAGAAAAAAAGAAATGGCTGCCTTGACTTGACTGTAACCCAGCAACAGCAAATGCCTTCCCAATTCCCTTTACTGCCTAAGCTATGCAAATCACGCAATTCCATTTAAAACAATCCTTTCAGATTTGCAAAGGACATTTCAGTTTATGAAGAAAGCAAAGTTCAGTCCCAAGGGCTGCATGACGATATTCATTTTTCTGGAAACAGAAGTGCAAAACTAAGAATAATTATTTGCATAATATATTAAAATGACTCTTCTTTACATATACATATGCAAAATACAAGCTGCCTTATTGCTTTGTGATTGCTACTTATTCCATAACTTACGTTTAGCTTGATGTCTAGTTCTCTTCTTAAAAAAAAAGGGTTTCTAAAACACCAAAGTTTTCTGTGATGATTATGTTAAATACAGGTAACTAAAACCCAAGAAGTTATTTTTCCTAATGTTCAGCAACAGTTGTAGACATGAATCTAGCAGTGATTTTCATTCCACGCAACAACACTGGCAATAGAAGTTACTTATGGCAGTACAGACTCTTAACTGATATCTGTGCAATCCCAGTATGCTCCAATGACGCCTGTGATGATGCTTGGCTAAACTCATTCGCCTTCTTGGTTTGCACAATCACTGCCTGACAGCAGATATTTTCAAGGATAAACATGATGCACATGCTCTGTGTATAAACAGTGCAACCTATTAATCAATAACTGTGTTTTTAATAAAAAAACAGCTGAAGAGAAATAAAACATTATAGGGTATAAATATCTACAGTTGCAGTTAGGCAATAGAGGCATTTAATTAGTATGCCTATGAACCATTTCCAAAAATTTCTCAGTATTTTGATAGCTGCTGATTTTCAGGAGACGTTTAAAAAAATGTGATTCACAGCCACTTAATAATCAAAAGTGTACCTAGAGGATTATCTATAAATAGGGAATACAGAGTGGCTCTGCTACACAGTTTGTATCCTCATGAAAGGAATACCTCATTGGTGCCAAAATAATCTTATTCAGTAAAGAAGAGTGCAGCTTCTTGGTGACTTTTAAGCCAGTCCACTCCACGGCTATTGATGTGACAAGACATAATACAATTCCAAGACAGCAGAGAATGCTGAAAACTTTTGAATATGGAGAATGATTGAAATCCTAGGAAACAAAGAAAGAAAGACTCACTGTAAATTATAGTCTAAAATTACTAGTAAAACAGAAACACAAGATTTCAAATCTTCAAGCAGAGATTGATGGAGAAGATGAGAACCGCTGGCAAGCGGCAGGCAGGTACCTCGCACATGGAGCAGTTCCTCATCCCTAGCTCCGTCTTCACCACGATGGCTTCAGAGGTCCAGCGCGCCAGGCAGTAGTCTATGGCCACCATCACCGTGTGCTTCAGCA